GAGAGAAAACATTTCATTTATAGGGATTCAAAGTTAGTGTTTCCTATTAGCAACATCTATTCCAAATCTTCCTCTTAATGTTGATCTGTAATTCGATTTTACATGTTTTATCTCTGTAAATGGAAGCACTGACATCAGTCCAGGTGTACGTGGTTTTAATTGAGCGTGGCCATTACTTGGAAGGCATTCATGGAGTGTGGTTAGATTCTTCTCTTAGTCTTTGCCTTTCCATATGGTATTACACTGCAGATTCATATCTTCCTGTGGAAGGTTAGATGACAGCCCCTCCACTGCACAGCTAAATGGATTTTGAAATATGGAAATCCAGGTTCACAAACACACTGTAGTGTAAAGTGAGAATGTATAGCCACTGCAGACTGCTGGGAGCATGGAGCTCTCACTTCCTTCAATTTGAGTGGCATGGCCAGTGCAGAACACAGTTTGATGTGACTTGTGATTGGAACAGTGTCAGTCACCATCAAAATGACTTTAACAGAATCTGAGTTTTGCACATGAGCACTGTTTTGCCTTGCAGTTTGAGGTTGAATTTATTAGGATACATTATCAAGTCTGTAGTGAAAGCTGCTTTCCAAAGCCCTTCCGAACTCAATAATGGTGGGGAGCGCAGTTCTTGTTCAGAAAAGTTTCAGTCTCAGCTCTGAGCTCAAAACAATGGATTAAACGTTATTAAGCCATCAAACTGGTGTCTGGTGGGACAAATCGGCATGGTCAGCTTATTTCTGATGAAAAGTTAGAGAGCAGATGGTGGTTGAGTCCATGAGAGGGGTTGGCATTCACCGTTGTCACTATGGGTTCAATCACACACAATAGATTTTCTGCAGAAGACCTGCTGATACAAAGAATAGCTTGCAGCACCTTACATTTTGACAAGTTTTGTAAGTTTTTAATTTGTTTTTCTGTTCCATACATTTTTACCACCATGAATTGCAACAGCGTAGCGGATTCCACTTTGGGTTCTACTAAATTCATGTTTTCTCAACTTCTTTGAAAGTATTCTCGCCAGTAGTTGTTCTACACAGACTATTTAAAGAGCCTAACACGTCACTCCAGCCTTGATGTGAACTCCTCAAATAAACAACTGAGCCATGTCAGGAACATCTATAGACTCACCCGGAGCTGACAAAGACTGCTCATCCTCTGCCTTCCTTTTTTTAAATCATTATTTTGAGACAGGATCTCACTCTGTCATCCAAGCTGGAGTGCAGTGGCATAATCTCAGCTCACTGCAGCCTCCACCTCCCAGGCTTAGGTGATCCTCCCTCCTCAGCCTCCCGAGTAGCTAGAACTGTAGGCACACACCACCACATTCAGCTAATTTTCATATTTTTTCTAGAGAGGGTGTTTCACCATGTTGCCCAGGCTAGTCTCCAGTTCCTGGACTCGAACAATCTGCCTGCCTCGGCCTCCCAAAGTGCTGGGATTACAGTCGTGAGCCACAGTGCCTGGGCCTGCCTTGCTTTAATTGACTGTAGATGTTGCTCCCAGTGTCCACTTGCTCCTCCAGCAGGTGTTCTCCCTGAAAGGCTAATCGTGAAAGCAGATGTATGTTCTCTGGACATGCCTCTGTGGCTGCTGCTGCTAATTAACTCACCACCAACGCGTGCATTCCTTGCTTCACTAACCAATGATGAGCTGCTGATAATCTACTTCGGCTGCAGCCTCATTTTCCTTTGTTTTGTGAAGAAATCCTGCTGTGATGAGCTTCTGTCTTAAATTGTCTAATTTCTCTGACCAGTGCTTCCTGTGAGCTGGGAATATGTTGGCAAGCGCTGAGTCAGGTAGTTTATGCTCTATTCCATTCTTTTGACACAGTTCTAGCGTCATCACCAGCTGACGTTTGCCCGCTCAGCATTCAACCCGGAACTTGAAACCAAATTGAGAGAAATGGATCAAAGTTCTCTGTGTGCGATAATCACATCCTGGAAGGAAAGGTTCCTGGGCATTGCTTCTCTCACACTGCATTTGTCCGTTGTTTAAGTGGGTGACATCCAGTGCAGAAGTCTCTTAGACCACTTTCAGTTCTGTGTATTTCAAGCGTGATAATATTTTTCCTTCCGCTTTTTGACTTTGCCTTCCTGTTATCAAGTATTGAATTTAGGATGGACTTTTTTCAGGTCCAGAGGCCCAACCTTTTATGAACTGAGTACTCTGTTTTAGCAGAAATGTTTCTAAACCAAATCCAGGCCTTATATTCCCCACAATTTTTATGTCTTGCTCTTTTTTTTCTGTGTTTCTTCAATCTTAGATTAAACACTTTCTCAGCTCTATCCTGCAGTTTGCCTACTGGGAAATATCGTGAGGCCGTCACTCTCAGGGAAGTTTTCTCTCAACTTTCTCACACTGGTGTCCTTTTTGCTCTTTGCCACATTGGGAATCTCCTAAGCTGACTTCAGAAGTGGGCTTCCTGCTACTGGTGCTTCTCAAGTTGATACACTCAGGGATAGAGTGAGAGCTGCTCTGTCTTATGTCATTAATTCTGTCCATCCAGGTCTAACACAAGGCCTCCTGTTCTGGCTGACAAATGGGCAGAGGCAGGAAAGGTGTCTGATCACAAATCAAAATCGCCTCCTATGTTTAAGGGAGCCTATGCCAGTCCAAGAAGCACACTCTTATCTCCGTCAAAAGCAGATTCTACTTGTTCCACAGGAAATGTTGGTGTGCAAGCTCTTGCAGTGTACCTGCCGCATCCCAGATGCCACCCCACGGTACCCACCCAGATTCAGATCTGGTCTGCCCAGATCTGAATCATGTTTCCAAGAAGCAGAGAGAAATTGCTGGAATTCTTTGTTCTTATTCATTGCTTGCCAACACTACAGCTTCCAGGAGAGTACCCACCCCAGTGATGACACAGCATCCGAATGCACACTTACTGGCCAAAGTGTGCTTTGCTGTAAATCAGTATGAAGACTTCCTAGAGGTCCTGGGCTGCAGGAGATGAGAACCTTGGAGGCTGCTTTTGACTCATGTGAATGTCTTTGCCAGGAGTTGAGTGGAAGTGCTGGGGAGAGAATGGCTTGATGCACGGCCAGCATTACACTACTCATCACGTGATTGCTCTCCATGTTCATAACCATAACTAATGACTAATTATGATTTCACCCTGGCACAAATGGTCAGAATGGAAACAACAAGCTTTAGAGGTTTTCTGGCTCTGTTAAGGTATCATTTACAAATAATACCGTTCACTCATTTTAAGTCTGTAGTTTGATGAATTTTGGTGATTGCATATAGTTGTGTAATCCCCACCCCAAATCAAGAGATAGAACAGTTGCATTCCTCTAAAAAAACTCCTGTTGTATGTCTTTGCAGCCAGTCTCCACCCTGACTCTATTTTTGCCTTTTCTGGATTTCATAAGTCTAAATTCAAGTTCACAATCTATTAATACATAGAGAGCAGTAATGCCCGAAAAGGGAAAGTTAATCTTTGCAGTTACTCTCCCTTGAGTCTCATTTTGCCCTTTCTAGAATTTCCTAAGTCTAAATTTAATTTCTTTCATTGGTATCAGTGCTGTTCATGTCACCTTTCTTTCTTCTTGGGTCTGCTTTGGTCATTCGTGTCTTTCAAGGAGTTTGTCTATTTCATCAAGTTGTCGAATTTGTTGATATAATGTTGGTCATAATAGTTCCTCATTATCTGGGTGGATCACTTGAGCCCAAGAGTTCAAGACCAGAACTAAAGACCAGATGTAGAGAGACCCCATCTCTACAAAACAAAATTTTAATTAACCAGGTTTGGTGGTGTGTGCCTCACGTCCCAGCCAGTCAGGAAGGTGAGGTAGGAGGATCGCTTTAGCCTAAGATGTTGAGGCTGCAGTGAGCCGTGATTGCCCCACTGCACTCTAGCCTGGGTGACAGAGCAAGACCCTCTATTGAAAAAAAAAAAAGAGTTCCTTATTATCCTTTTAAGGTCTGTAGGATATGTAGTGATGCCCCTTCTTTCAGTGTACTGTACATTGATATTACAGAGAAAATTCAAACACAGAATAACATTTTACATTCTCTTTATAATTTTCTAATTTCTTGTCCTTTTATTTTCTCTCATTAAACCTTCAGTAAAGTGCACCTACGGCGGTGTGGTACAACAGAACATGATCTTTGAATTTCCCCAGTTTACATTTAACCTCAACCACTCAGTAGCCCGTGGTCTTGAGCAGTTTACTTAACCACTCTGTGTCATTTCATCCTCTGCCAAGTGTGGATAGAGTGCCTCCTGCCTGGTTAGCTAGAGGCTGGGGGGAGGGGGTGGGTTGCAGGTAAAATGCTCAGGGGGTGGGAGTCGTTGCAATGGTGAGGGATGATGTGATGGGGTGTTCCAAATCTTATTGCTCAGACTAGGACTGGTTAATGGTTTTAGGAAAGTGGAAATTTTGAGACCTTCTTGAAGCCCCTAGTTTTCTCTAATTCAGTATATTCTGTTTTATGTTGTATGTAAGTAGAATCTGGAGTTTGTACACTGTGGTGAACATGATTGAAACGTGGTAATGCTTTATTTAAAAATCTGCATTTTGGCTGGAGACAGTGGCTCACAACCTATAATCGCAACATTTTGGGAGGACAAGGCAGGAAGTTCACTTGAGGTCAAAGTTTGAGACAAGCCTGGACACCAAAGTGAGAGCTCGTGTCTATAAAAGAAAAATAATAATAACAGTAAGTATGGCAGCACATGCTTGTAGTCCCAGCTACTCCGGAGGCTGGGATGGGAGGATCGCTTAAGCCCTGGAGCTCAAGGCTGCAGTGAGCCCTGATCACACCACTGCACTGCAGCCTGGGCAACACGGCAAGAACCTCTCTCACAAAATAAAATTAAAATCAAAATCCACTTTTACTTTAGCTTAAATACAATAAATCAGTGTGAATGTTACTAAGGATGACATTTGTACAAGAAAGTAAGATTTAAAATTCAAATCATTTAAGATAGGATTACAGAAATGATGATCTTTAATTTTTTAAAAACGTGTACCTGTTTCTTGTTTCCTCAGGTCCTTAATTTACCCATTTCTGATTCGAGGAGGAACGCCTATGCCACTGTTTTCATGTTTATTGGCGATTATGTTCTGTACCAGTAACGGCTATTTGCAAAGCAGATATTTAAGCCATTGTGCAGTGTATGCTGATGACTGGATAAGGGATCCCCGTTTTCTGATGGGTGAGTGTCCACAGCAGGGAACTCCACCTCATTCACGTCACTGCTTTTATGTTGCTGTCCCGGTGTTTTTTAATGAGAAAGTCCAAGGTTCCTGTGAGAACAAAGACTCACAGCAGAGACAGCAGCAGGACCCCAGGATCCCCCATGGGAGAGCCAGGCTGTCTCAGCACAGCTGGGGACAGGGAGGTGACACAGGTGCTGGGCTGAAGCACAGGTGCCTGGTCAGGCTGAGAACCTGAAAACAGCAGCGTGCTGTGGCAGAGCTAGCAGGGACTAAAGGTTGAGACGATTTGGCACTCATTGACCACGTGATGTAAGATGGGCCCCAAACTCCTGCGGTCTCTTCTGTGATGTGAGAGAAAGCCAGACTGTCACCTTCCTACAAGGCAGCTTCTGTGATTCCGTGAACCTGAATCACTTTTAGGTTTACAAGGTTGTTGAATTTTTTTATTTGTATCAGTTAATGTGAATTAATGTACCTTTTCAATTATAACTATTTATAGTTATACCTCTAATTATAACTTTATAAGATCTGAGCAAAATGAAAATAAAACAGCCATCAAAGATATTTGCAGGAGCATTAAAAATGTATAATCTGGCTGGGTGCAGTGGCTCACACTGTAATCCTAGCACTTTGGGAGGCTGAGGTGGGCAGATCACTTGAGTCCAGGAGTTCAATACCAGCCTGGGCAATATGGCGAACCTCCATCTCTAAAAAAAATACAAAAATTTAGCTGGGCATGGTGACACACACCTGTGGTCCCAGCTTACTCACAGACACTAAGGTGGGAGGATCACCTGAGGCCAGGAGGTCAAGGCTGCAGTGAGCCATGATTCTGCTGTATCAAAAAAAAAAAAACTTAGGAATCTTATATATAAGAAAGATTCTTTCCAAGAAGCAGCTTCTCTACTCCTTCTGGAATCTCTACCTGGTTCAGCCCTCCTGCCTTCACTCCTGCCTCCACCTTGTCCATCAGGGTGACACAGAAGTCCTCCAGGGTGCCCACCGCTGGCCCCTGGGCCTTCAGCAGCTGCTCCTACGTGAGTGAACCCCATGTCTGCATCAGCTCCTCAAGCTTCTCCTGAGTGGGCAGCAGCAGCTTCCGGGGTAGCCTGGGTGGAGGCTGTGGTAGGGCGAGCAGCATGGAGGCATCACCACCGTCACAGTCAAGCAGAGCCTGCTGAACCCCATTAACTTGGAGGTGAACCCCAGCACCCAGGCCGATGCTGCGTGCACCCAGGAGAAGGAGCAGATCAAGACCCTTAACAACAAGTTTGCCTCATCCATCAACAAGGGAAGGTTCCTGGAGCAGCAGAACAAGATGCTGGAGACCACGTGGAGCCTTCTGCAGCAGTAGAAGATGGCTCAAAGCAACATGGACAACACATTCGAGAGCTACATCAACACCCTTAGGTGGCAGCTGGAAACTCTGGGCCAGGAGAAGCTGAAGCTGGAGGCAGAGCTTGGCAACATGCAGGGGCAGGTGGAGGGCTTCCAGAACAAGTACGAGGATGAGCTCAATAAGCTACAGAGATCGAGAATGAATTTGTCCTCATCAAGAAGGATGTGGATGAAGCTGACACGGACAAGGTAGAGCTGGAGTCTCACCTGGAAAGGCTGACTGATAGATTAACTTCCTCAGGCAGCTGTAGGAAGAGGAGATCTGGGAGCTGCAGTCCCAGAGCTCAGACACGTCTGTAGTGCTCTCCATGGACAACAGCCGCTCCTGGACATGGACGACATCATTGCTGAGGTCAAGATGCAGTACGAGGAGATCACTAACCACAGACGGGCTGAGGCTGGGAGCATGTGCCAGATCAAGTATGAGGAGCTGCAGACGCTGGCTGGGAAGCACGGGACAACTTGCAGCATACAAAGACTGGGATCTCTGAAATGAACTGGAACACGGCCGGCTCCAGGCTGAGACTGAAGGCCTCAACGGCCAGAGGGCTTCCCTGGAGGCCGCCATTGCAGATGCCGAGCAGCTTGGGGAGCTGGCCGGTAAGGATGCCAATGCCAAGCTGTCCAAGCTGGAGGCCGCCCTACAGCAGGCCAAGCAGGGCATGGTGCAGCAGCTGCACAAGAACCAGAAGCCAATGAATGTCAGGCTGGCCCTGGACATCGAGATAGCCACCTATAAGAAGCTGCTGGAGGGCGAGGAGCGCCGACGGGAGTCTGGGATGCAGAACATGAGTATCCATATGAAGACCACCCAGCAGCTAGACAGGTGGTTTGAATTCAGCCTATGGGGACCTGACAAGCCCCAGCTGTAGGTACGGCCTGGGCTCCAGTTCCTTCATCCGCACCAGCTCCACCAGGGCCATGGTTGTGAAGAAGATTGAGACCTGTGCTGGGAAGCTGGTGTCTGAGTTCTCTGACGTCCTGCCCAAGTGGACAGCTACAGAAGCCCCTCCCAGCCTGCCCCTCCTGTGGCCACCGAGCAGGGGAGCACAAAACGGGACCCACGTGAAGCTCAGCCTAAGCCCTCAGCCCACATGCAAAGAGTTTACTGCCTGGGGGCACCCTTTGCCCATGACTGCAGCTACCAAACAATTCAATTGCTTTTTTTTCTTTTGTCCAAAATTAAACCTTAGCTAGCTCTGCAAAACACAAAGGTTCTTCTGTGTATTTATTTAGTCTATTCTAGCATTTAGATATTAAACCATACTAAGGTGTAGCTTACCCCCATGGTAGCATGCTAAAATTCTGAAGTCAGTCCATCAAATTTGCAAACTACCCTGCAGTATTTCACCTTAAGCTACATAAAGTGACTTTACATTGCATTTTGCTTTCTTCGTGTGTATTAATTTATAAGCATAGAAATAAACTAACACTTGGGTAGTACTTGTGGCTGAGAGATCCCTTTCAACATTTCTCAGTCATTTTTCTTTTTCCTTTTTGGTGAATTAGAATTTTATTCCAGGGTTTCATCATACCCGAGGATTGTTACAATGAGATACCTCTCCCTCCTCTACAAAAGGAGGGTTGGCTGAGAGGTGTTTCAAGATCCTTTTCTAGCCCCAGAAATCTGTGCCTCCATGAAATCCTGGACTAAATTGTTTGGTACTAAACTGTTGTACAGTGACCACAAATATCTTCTTGATTTACTGGTTTTTGACTGCTTTATTTTCTTCTACCCCACCTGTCAAGAGAAGGAACAGGCTTTTGAGTTCCTGTGCAGAACACAAGATTTATGCCTCCCCATGTTCTCTGAGACAGAAAGGATGCCCTTTTCAGATAAGACATGAAAGGTCAGAAGAGTTACACAGCTGGCCTGAGACATCTAGACACAGTGAATGGCAGAGCGGTGATTTCCACCGCCTCACCGAGCTCAGTGTCCACAGGTGGCAACAGGAATCAGAGGAAGGGGAATTTTTTTCTTTTGTCTATTTAAAGATACAGATTTTAAATGTTTACTGAGAGTCTCATGGGACTCACTTCTATGATGAACAACAACAACAAAAGAATCCTTTTGATCTATGGATTTAAATCCTATTTAAAGTAGTTCTGCAGATGGGTCGCATCACGTAGAGGTGACTGTGAAGCTGGTTGAAATTCCAGACACCAATAAATTGTATGCAGACTTCTTGACTTCTCTACAGTTCAACAGAAGGATTTGAAAAGGAAAAAATTTGCCAGTTGGGAGACAATCTAGGATACCTTTTGTGTGTTACAATTATTGCCTAGAGTTTATTGTTTTTGTGAGGAAGCATACATGAAATTACATCAATAAGTCAGTATGCCTACTGTAGTTACCATGAAGAACTAAGCAAATAATAATAAATTTCTTTTTTTTTCTTTTTTCTTTTTTTTGAGATGAAGTCTTACTCTGTTGCCCAGGCTAGAGTGCAGTAGCGTAATCTCGGCTCACTTCAACCTCTGCCTCCTGGGTTCAAGAGCTTCTCATGCCTCAGCCTCCCGAGTAGCTGGACTATAGGTGCATACCACTATGCCTAGCTAATTCTTCTATTTTTTTAGTAGAGACAGGGTTTCGCCATGTTGGCCAGTCTGGTCTCGGATTCCTGACCTCAGGTGATCCACTCGCCTCAGCCTCCCAAAGTGCTGGGATTACAGGCGTGAGCCACCACACCCAGCATATTTCTAACAGAAGGTTTTCCATAACAGCAAAAGTGGGTAATCTAAAATATTTTACAGAAAGATTCTTCTTTTTTAGACAGAGTCTCACTCTGTCACCTAGTCACCCAGGCTGGAGTGCAGTGGCGCAATCTTGGCTCACTGCAACCTGCACTTCCCAGGTTCAAGCAGTTCTCATGCCTCAGCTTCCCAAGTAGCTGGGATTACAGGCGTGTGCCACCACACCTGGCTAATTTTTGTATTTTCAGTAGAGACACGGTTTCACCATGTTGTCCAGGCTACTGTTGAACTCCTGGCCTGAAGTAATCTGCCCAACTTGACCTCTCAAAGTGCTGGGATTATAGGTGTGAGCCACTGCACCCAGCCGGATTTTAAGACTCTTATAAATAGAATTAAATATTTACCTTAGGTGAACACAAGTACTAGTTTTCTTCCAATCTAAGCAATAAAAGGAGCTTGTCTCCTAGAAGACACAAAGTAGCTGTGCTATTAGACAGCATGCTTGCTTTCTTTTTTTTTTTTTTTGAGATGGAGTTTCACTCTTGTTACCCAGCCTGGAGTGCAATGGCGCAATCTTGGCTCACCACAACCTCCGCCTCCTGGGTTCAGGCAATTCTCCTGCCTCAGCCTCCTAAGTAGCTGGGATTACAGGCACATGCCACCATGCTCAGCTTTATTTTTATTGTATTTTTAGTAGAGACGGGGTTTCACCATGTTGACCAGGATGGTCTCGATCTCTTGACCTCGTGATCCACCAGCCTCAGCCTCCCAAAGTGCTGGGATTACAGGCTTGAGCCACCGCGCCTGGCCAGCATGCTTTCTTTCCAGAACCTCATATTGGAAGCCAAATTACCTAGGGTTGAAATACTAATATCAAAAAAAAGATAGCAAATCAACTATAAATGTATGGATCCAATCAATGACTTATAAAACCTATTATAAAATTTGGTAAGAACTGCTGAGAAAAAATGTTTTTAAAAATCTGCTTACAGTGGTGAAATCAGAAGGAAGAAATCGTGCAACGCTTGCTGTACACCAGGTTTTCTACATCCTTATGCTAACTGAAAAAGTATTCAGTGTCACTGATGTGATGAATAAAATAATGATACCCCAGGTGTACATTTATTTAATATTGAATTGAATGCCACCATTAAGCAGCATCTGCCTTTCACATTTTTAAAAAGTATCTCGGCCGGGCACGGTGGCTCACACCTATAATCCCGGCACTTTGGGAGGCCGAGGCAGGTGGATTGCGAGGTCAAGAGATCGAGACCATCCTGGTCAACAAGATGAAACCCCGTCTCTACTAAAAATACAAAACTTAGCCGGGCATGGTGGGGCGTGCCTGTAATCCCAGCTACTCAGGAGGCTGAGGCAGGAGAATTGCTTGAACCCAGGAGGCGGAGGTTGCGGTGAGCCGAGATCATGCCATTGCACTCCATCCAGCCTCGGTAACAACAGTGAAACTCCATCTCAAAAAAAATAAAATAAAGTATCTCAGAACTATCAAGTTAACCTCTTTTTATCAGTATTTCTTTTATAAAACACTGTTTTGGCATTTTGCCTTTTCTTGATGGAATTAATTGATGTGATATAAGAACTCTCCTTTAAGTGACAGAAAATTCCCAGAGATTTATAAGAATAGGAGAGAAAGCTGGGGATACTGCGGGGTCCTGGGGAGAGTCGTGCAGCCAGCACGGGAGACTCTTGTTGGGAAAGGAGGAGGAAGAGCTGACCGAGGAATGCCGATTGATGAGCCTGCAGGAATTCTGCGGTGGGCCAAGTGTGTATGTGCATTAATTTGTTCAAATGAGGTTGTAAGTAAGAGAAGAAGACCAGAGATCAGCTCCTGGGAACTGTCACCCCTCAAGAGGCAGCATACAACCAATGGTAACAGAGCAGCCCGGGTGCCTTACCCCTCCTGCTGTGTATAATGGAGACGGTAGCATCGCCGCATACAGATCGTGAGAAAGAAGTGGGGTGAGCCTATCTGCCAGGCTGACCCCTCAAGAGGCAGCATACAACCAGTGGTAACAGAGCAGCCCGGGTGCCTTACCCCTCCTGCTGTGTATGATGGAGACGGTAGCATCGCCGCATACAGATCGTGAGAAGGAAGTGGGGTGAGCCTATCTGCCAGGCTGACCCCTCAAGAGGCAGCATACAACCAGTGGTAACAGAGCAGCCCAGGTGCCTTACCCCTCCTGCTGTGTATGATGGAGACGGTAGCATTGCCGAATACAGATCGTGAGAAAGAAATGGGGTGAGCCTATCTGCCAGGCTGACTCCCTGATGCTCCCTGGAAAGCAGACTTGTGCCCGAGTCAGATTTCTATCCATACCTGTCATCCTGAAATCACAGATTGTGACAATCAGGTCCAAGTATTCTGAATACATTAGATAATTTATTTGTATTATTCAAAAAAGCCCTCCTTAGCTTACCTGACAACAGTGTTTAGTGGTTTTTACTACCAGTCATGGCCAATACGTTTCACTAACAATGGTAATATGAAGGTTACAATAGTACTGTTCAGGCAGGCTGGGCTCATGGTGAAATTTTAGGGTTTATTAGCCATAATCATCTTGCAATTTTTTTTCCTTCAGGTTTTGGCTTGTGGTTAATGGGCATGTTGATAAACATCCATTCAGATCATATCCTAAGGAATCTCCGAAAACCGGGAGACACTGGATACAAAATACCAAGGGGTACGTACTGAAAGTGAAGGATTCACGTGAGAGTTGAGTGGCGTGGTGCCTCACTATTTTAGTGTTGCCAGCTCTAAGAGTAGTAGTATAGTATCTATTAGCTATACGTTTTCAGTGTAAGTCGTCATCATTAATAACAAGTGCTATTGTTATTGTCTTATTAGAATAACAAAAAAAAACAAATCTGGCTAACTGAACAGTTATTAAAGCAGGGACTCCAGTTACATCTGTGTCTGGAAGAGAGAATGAGGAAGAATTTACGGTTTATGAGGAGCGTCTGACACTTCTGTTTCTGGCATTATAATGGAGTAGATACTTTAACCCTCCTCTGACAACAGTTTAAAATGTTGGAATTTTTTGAAAATCTTTTTAAATGCATCAGTATACTAGCAAGAAAGGAAGTCATCAGAGAACAAGATCCAAGTGAATGGTGGAATCACATGAGGTCAGGAGTTCAAGACCAGCCTGGCCAACGTGGTAAAACCCTGTCCCCACTGAAAACACAAAAATTAACCAGCCGTGGTGGTGCGCACCTGTAATCTCAGCTACTTATGAGGCTGAGGCACAAGAAACACTTGAGCCTGGGAGGCATGGGGTGCAGTGAGCCGAGATCGCGCCACTGCACTCCAGCCTGGGCGACAGAGTGAGACTCCATCTCAAAAAAAATTATAAAAATAAAATATGAATGGAGCAGTTGCAGGGTCTATACCCATCAGCTAAAGAACACCTATGACAAACCCACAATCTACAAACTTAGCTTAATTCTGTCGCAGTAAAGGGAGACCCCTCCGTACCATGTTTTCACACCATGCATAGCCTCCTTCCTGCAGCAGGTAACCACCCCAGCTTCCCGACAGCCCATGGCCATCAATGGCGTCTCTGAGAATAGACAGGCCAAAGGAGATGCAGAAGCTTGGCTGCGACTCCCAGGCAGCAGGAGGTGACACCAGACGTCAGTGCAGATGACATGGGACACAGAAGACTTCGGGAAGAAAATGCTTTTAGAATTCTCAATTTCTCCCATCCAAGTCCTAACCAGGCTCGACCTTGCTTAGCTTCCAAGATCAGACGAGATAGGATGTTCATAGAACATTCCTTATTTCTAGTCATTAAATTAAAAGTCCCACAAGACCAAAAGAAACGCCACAGAAGCATGTTAGAAGATGGAAATGAAAAAGCAAAGGATATGAATCCTAGACTGGGTTGATATGAATGGCTATGACCGCTTACAGCAAAGTAGTAGAGAGCCCAATATTGCAAACGTCTGCACACCCCAGCTTCCTGAAATAAGAAAAAGTAAAACACTTTGCTATCTTGGGCTCAGCAAAACCGTTTTCTTTCTTTTTAAAAAGTAGACCATCTCAAGCTGGGCACCGTGGGTCATGTCTGTAATCCCAGCACTTTGCGAGGCCAAGGTAGGTGGATCACCTGAGGTCAAAAATTCCAGACCAGTGTAGCCAACATGGTGAAACCTGTCTCTACTAAAAATACAAAACTTTGCCAGGTGTGGCGGCACATGCCATGTGCCACTTGAATGTGGGAGGTGGAGATTGCAGTGAGCTGAGATCATGCTGCTGCACTCCAGCCTGGGTGACAGAGCAAGACTCTCTTTCCAAAAAAAAAAAAAAAAAAAAAGGTAGATCATCTCAGCTCCAGCCAAAGCCCTCATGCATGTAAGTTGCAGTGTGCTCGGAGATGTGATCTCTACCCTCTGCAACATTTTTGAAATTGGTCTTATGACTTAGAGTGTAATGGTTTGTTGTGTTGTTGTTGTTTTTAAGGCAGAGTCTAGCTCTGTTACCCAGGCTGGAGTGCAGTGGCACGATCTCAGCTCACTGCCGCCTCCACCTCCTGGGTTCAAGCGATTCTTGTAGCTGGGACTATAGGTGTGCACCATCACACCTGGCTAATATTTGTATTTCCAGTAGAGAAAGGTTTCATCATGTTGGCCAGGCTGGTCTCAAACTCCTGACCTCACATGATCTACCTGCTTCAGCCTCCCAAAGGTCTGGGATTACAGGCATCAGCCACTGTGCCTGGCCTAATTTTTTTTTTTTAATGCTCTGTCCTTATATGCCTTCAGTATTTTCTCAGCTCTGCAGACATAGTGCCCAATTAGAACCCAGCGCAGACCACACCAGGCCTCTCTAGAACACACTTGAGTGGCTACAAAGCTACAGCCTAAGGGTGAGTCCCACGGAGGGGCCTCCTGCCTTCCCTCTCTGCTGGGACCCCTCTACCACCCCTCCTCTGGTTCTTGGAGTGTACCAGCCATTGCTCTCTGCCTCAGGTCCTGTACTGCATCTCTTCCCCTGCTTGGAACACTCCTGAGAGCACCCCCAATACCTGCCAGCCTGGCCCTCACCTGCAAGCCCTGAATTGACCCTCACCTTCCCCATGAGGCCTGTTCCCAGCCACCCTGTGATGGTGACCTCCTCCACCCCATCCCAGCTCCAGGCCCCCCTCACTCTGCTCTGCCTCTCGCTGTTCCTCCCCTCTGCGTGCTGCGTGCTCTCCTTGTTCATGACACTGGAGTTTATGGTTCTAGATGTGGGGAGGGGTCTGTCCAAGTGCCTGGGCGGGGCCTGGCCCATGATACTGACTCAGTGCATTTGTGAAGATGTGATGAATGAATGAATGAATGGATCTGTGCTTGAAAATGACTGTCTTCATCACTCATTGTTCAAGGGTTCTACGTAGGTCTGTTTTATGTGGCTAGTTCGTTGCCAGTTGTTACGCTGTATTCTCTGTGCTTGCATGATTCATCAGCAGGTGCATGGTTTATTGGCATTTTCCACTGCAACTGTACGTGTGTATATTCACGTAGATGGGTATTGATATAGATATGTAGTTGACGATCAGAAGTTGTGATATAAATTAGTAGACCACGTAACACTGAATATGCCTTAGTGCTGAACGTTCTCTATGGGTATATTTTTCCGTTCTTGACATCATGTTCTCCTGGTAAGTATTCACTAGCATCTCTGAAGTCAGTATTTCATTTTGTGGTAAATGCACTACCTTGGTCTGTGTTTTCTTCTAGGAGGCTTATTCGAATACGTAACTGCGGCCAACTATTTTGGAGAAATCGTGGAGTGGGGGGGCTATGCTCTGGCCAGCTGGTCCGTTGAAGGCGCGGCTTTTGCTTTCTTCACATTTTGTTTTTTATCTGGTAGAGCAAAAGGGCATCATCAGTAAGTTTGAAAACACTTTTCCCATTTATAATTTGTTCTTTCACTGTTATTACTATTTTCAGGCTGGATTTTTGAAGAGTTAATTTAAATTGCTGAATCCCAATTTATTCTGTGCTTTCGCCAAAAAAGTACAAAACCAAACCAACAGCTGTTGAGTCACCCAGCTCTAAGGGGTCGTCAGATCTACAGCCGCACAGTTGTTCTCTCTACCACGTCCTTAGCCTTTCTGAATTGACATTGCTGGAGTCAATGGTCAAGTTAGACACCAAGCAGAGGATTCAGGGCTCTAAATGGGAAAAGGCTGAATGAAGCAGAACCCTGGCCGAGCAATAGCCAACGGCCGGATTGTGGATGCTGCAGGTCGAGGAAGTCCTGAAGAGGAAGGTGAATCCCACAATCAGCCGACACCGGCAGAACTCGGGCACACAGGAGCTCTCTAGCTGTGTGGTGGCTTAGGTCATGGCTCTGAACCTGGGGTCCTTGATGGGCTACAGAGGCTCTGTGCACCCCCTGAAATGACATCATTTTCCAGAGCGGGTCCTCGGCTTTTATCTGATCTCCCAAAGTGCTTGTGAGCCATTTGACCAACAAACTCATAAAGAAACCAAAGGGGCCAGGTGCAGTGGCTCACGCCTGTAATTCCAGCACTTTGGGAGGCCAAGGCGGGCGGATTACTTGATGTCAGGAGTTCAAGACTAGCCTGGCCAACTTGGTGACAACCTGCTATACTAAAAATACAGAAAATTAGCCAGGCATGGTGGCAGGTGCCTATAATCCGAGCTACTTGGGAGGCTGAGGCAGGAGAATCACTTGAACCCTGGAGGTGGAGGTTGCAGTTAACCTGTATTGCATCACTGCACTCCAGCCTGGGCAATAGAACAAGACTCACTTTCAAAAAAAAAGAAATCAAAGGATGTCAGGGCTGAAGTGAATTTAGCGAACATCTTTCTAATCCAGTGGATGAGGAAACTGAGGTTCGAGGAGGAGAGTCTGAGGCCAGCCAGGAACCCTGTCTCATTGTCGGAAAGAGATCTCAGCAGCAGCATGGGACCCTTACCTGCCCTGACGTTGGCGCATGTCCCTGACAATAAATGATGGAGACTGAGCTTAGCAAGCAGCCAGCCTGGTGTGCACATTTACCATGTCCCCTGAGCCACCCACATCGTCCACTCCAAACAGCTCATCAAAATCTCCAGTGCTGGTGATGCTACGAGGTGTGCAGCAATGTATAATGCTGTCCTACTTCATGGAGTTTACCATTTCTTTTGAGACTAAGGACAGAGAGAAAAAGCTAAAAGAAGAATAGATTGATATCATGGGATAGTGGGAAAAGTACCTAGGTGTACTTCCCAGCCTCACCATGTGTTTGCGGATGCGAAGGACGATTTTTGGAGATAATAAGAAAGATCAGATCTGAAGTATCTCTTTGTCTAATTTTTTTTTTAAGATAGCGTCTTGCTCTGTCACCCAGTCTGGAGTGCGGTGGCACAATCTCAGCTCACCGTCACCTCTACCTTCCAGGCACAAGCTATCTTCCCACTTCAGCCTCCCAAGTAGCTGGGATCACAGGCACACGCCACCATGTCTGGCTAATTTTTTATATTTTTTGTAGAGTTGAGGTCTCACTATATTGCCCAAGCTGGTCTTGAACTCCTAGACACCTCAGCCTCCCAAAGTGCTAGGATTAGATGCATGAGCCAACATGCCTGGTGGCCTTTTTGTCTAACATTTGAAGACGTGATAGTGTAAATGCGAGAGCTTTTGAGACACTCCATCATGCCAGTGGCCTGGTAGTTTCACGCATAGACAGTGAGGAGAGAGCGAGATCAGAGAGCCACAACCTACCTAAATCCCAGAGCTGCTGAGACAGACAGAGGGGTCTGCAGAAAGTTGCACAAGTGCCAAAGGCAGAGAGGGTTTGAGAGGGAGGCTCGAGGCCAAACATGGCAGAAAACACTGTGGGCCAGGAATGGGCCTTCTGTGCTGGGAACTGTGCCTGCTGAAAGGTCACATGGGAGTCGTAAGCCCTACTACCTGTGAAAGCAACTTTATGGGGAATGTAATTAGTTGAGATGAGGTGGAGCAGGGTGAGCCTAATCCAGTATGACTAATGTCCTTCTGAGAAGGGGGAACGTGGACACAGACATACACAAAGGGGAACACCAGGTGATCAGTGGGAAGACAGACACAGAAGCAGTGGTGATGCAGGAACATGTGGCGCCACCAGAGCTGGGGGAGACGGGACTGGAACCTTCCCCGAACCTTGGGAGGGAGCGCAGCCGCCACCTTGATTCCCAACTTCTGGCCTCCAGAACTGGTAGAGAATCAATGGCCGTTACTATAAACTACCCAGTGTGTGGTAGCTTTGTTCCAGCAGCTGCAGGGAGCTGATACACCAGCCTTGCGGCCATTTAAGATTGACTAGGAAAGTACAGGCAGAGGAATATGATTTGTGAAGCCTTCACTTCTGTCCTCTGCCAGGTCACTTTGTCACAGGTTTGGTTGAAAGACTACGTTATCACTCTAAATATACATTCTAGAGTCTGACTGCCTCCCCTCTGCCCCACCTCCCCCCAGCGCTGCAGCAGCCTGGGCCGCACTTCCCGGTGAAGATGCCATTCTTTCACATTCCTAATATTTGATGTGAAGAGGCAAGTAGCGGCTCATTTCTAATAATAAAAACAGGTGAGATAACACTGACTTTAAGAAGACATGGATCAGAGTAAGATTGAGCAAGGGCACACCAAGTCAGTGGTAAAGATATTTTCTCAAATGGAAACAGGAAAACCCCTCTCAGTATTTGAATATGAAACATACAGAAATGGAAAATAAACAAGTCAGTTATCTAAATGAAGTCTTTGCTGATGAAAACCCAGAGATGTGCTTTGCAGAAGAATTCATGAGTTGAAAGAGCTCTTTGTCATTCATTTGCTATTTAAATTGGTGTCAGTGTGAAACCAGTTTTAAGTCCTGAAGAATGAATCATTCAGTTTTGCAGAAGAATGTTCAGAAATGAAGGACTTACAAGCTGAGAATAAAATAAAAACTACTTTTTGAAAAATATTTTCATAAACCCAACGAGTTAAGCCATCAAATAAGTATATTCCAAAATAATACATGCTAAGGACCTATTCCTCCCACTCCATTTGATTGATTATAATGTTCTAAAAACAATACTGTATTACAATGAAATTCTTTCTATAGTAATTAGTATTTAAATTTATAAATGATTGCATTGATAGTTAAACTCTAGGTCAGGAACAGTCAGCCAGCTGTGCTGGGTTGTTCACAAACATTCTCTTTAAGGGCAAAATTTAAAGGTATTCTAAGGAGTGAGAAACATTTAATCATTTAACAAGAAATAATTTATTTCTATATAATGGTTTCTGTGAAATACGTTTAACCTCTTCAGCCAACATCCCCTTCGTTGTGTGAGAACATCCTGACCTCACACGTGTTCTCTCTGTTGTCACGAGCCCAGCCTCACTGCCCAGCCTGCGGAGGGCGTCTTCGGGGGTCCTGCGGCTGTCCTGTGTCTCCTGTGTCCTGCCTGCCCTCTTGTGTTTGTCCACTTTAGGCTCTCCTGCTGTTGTGTACTCTTCCCTTGCCTATTTAGGCCAGGGTACCCATCTTCCACAGGCATCCTGGGAGACAGGAGCTCACCCCGTGTCCCTGTGCGGTGCCCTGTCCCGCTGGCCCGTGGGGAAGCTTTTCAGCACGTGCAGGTGGTAGCTGGCCCGGATCCCAGCAGGCCTGTGGAAAGCTTCAGCACCTAACCAGCGAACATCTTTGCAACACACTTCTGCAGTTTTCACACCGGCCGGTAGCCTTGGCCACGTTGTGTGATGGGCACTCTTGGGTCCATGCGCCACCACTGAGCCACACAGCTGGGAAGGCTGCAGTCTTGAAGCCTTATGCCAGGGGAATTGACGCTTGGCCCGGAATCCTGACCAACTTCTTAGAATTGTCCCTATTACATGCCTTTCTGGGGACACAGAACATACTAAAGTAAACATGGCAGCCCAGTGTGTTCTCATTCTCTGTTTGTGGATTCTGGTGTTAAACTTAGAACTAAGACCAGCAGCTCACTCTGTTTCTCATCCTCATCCGTTTCTACCACATTAACAAAGAGCTAATTGCTTTCTATCATTATTTTTAGTCTGTTGTTTAATCTTTCTCTGTGTTTGTAGAAAGTCCCTTTCTATGACCATTTATCCATCCTGTCAAACTGTGTTTAATTTTTACTCCACTTAGTTGCCACCTTTCCCAACTGGCTATTACCCCCAAAACAAATGAGCATGCCTTTGTTAATATAATTTATATCAAAACGGAAAATACTGTTTGTTTCAAGCACAGGGCTGAATTGTGGACAATGCCATATTGCATTTCCCCAGATTTCACTGAATCTTTGCTAAGAGCTGTTCAGGAGCCCCCTGGCATGTTCTGGGTGCCCACTCTGCACACCCCAGGCTGGGCCAGTAGTTCTTGACTACAGGCTAGAGAAAACTGCTAGAGTCTCCAGCAGAGATTCAGGAAGCACCCACTTGGTCCTGCCCCTCCTCCAGCCTGCATACTTCCCCTGGGGGCTGAAAAGATAGCCCCACAATGTGTTGATCAGTATTTTCATCAACTGTCAGTACTTTTCCTTCCATATAGAAAGGCGCATTCTACGGGCTACGTCTTCCAAATCATACTTTATGATTAGACATATTTAATTCTTCATGATATAGGCAAAATTAAACTATAGGTATGAAATGCCAAAGTTTTTGTTACTACATTTAAAAAAACTCAGTATTTTATAGTGAATAATAGTGTCACTTTTGTTAGCATCTGTTAAATGTTTAAGTGACAGAATTATTTCCTTTTTTAATGTTTTTTCTTATTTTTAGGTGGTACCTGCAGAACTTTGAAGAGTATCCAAAGTTCAGAAAAATTCTAATTCCATTTTTGTTTTAAGTGCATTTTCAATGAAATTATTGTCAACTTGAAGCTTTCCAATGCATTTATCGAGGGACTTTATAACTAAGTCACATCTTTGAAATTTTCCTGTTAATTCATCATTTTCAAGATGTCCTCTAGGAATGTTTTTCCTAGTAATTTTGCAAGCTATCTAAAAAGTAGCTAAATAAGCTGAAACAGGGCCGGGCGCAGTGGCTCATGCCTATAATCCCAGCACTTTGGGAGGCCGAGGTGAGTGGATCACAAGGTCAGGAGTTCAAGACCAGCCTGGCCAATATGGTGAAGCCCCATCTCTACTAAAAAAAGAAAATAAAAAAATTAAGGCCAGGTGCGGTGGCTCACGTCTGTAATCCCAGCACTTTGGGAGGCCGAGGCGGGTGGATCCCGAGGTCAAGAGATCGAGACCATCCTGGTCAACATGGTGAAAGCCTGTCTCTACTAAAAATACAAAAAATTAGCTGGGCGTGGTGGCGCGTGCCTGTAATCCCAGCTACTCAGGAGGCTGAGGCAGGAGAATTGCCTGAACCCAGGAGGTGGAGGTTGCGGTGAGCCGGGATCACGCCATTGCACTCCAGCCTGGGTAACAAGAGCAAAACTCCATCTCAAAAAAAAAAAAAAAAAAAAAAAAAGGAGATTGAAGTATCCCACCATATAACAGGTCAGAATTTCAAACTCTGGGTAAAAACTGCTGACATTTTTTCTAATTCCAAATTTGCCTCTTTGGCTACCTCTTGCCACGTGTGTATGAGACTAGAATTTACCACTGTCTTTGATGGCATTTAAAGAGCAACAAATGTCACGATCCATTCTATAGCCCCTACAGTGCTCCCTTCAAGGTCAACAGCAGTGTTGCCTCCCAACTCCATAGGGCAGAGATCTGTCTTGGAGCCCTCTCTCGGAGGCCACAGAGGTCTGGGGTAGCCATTGTGCATTCATGGCCTGAGAAAAACTTCCAGCCTTCATGCCAGGTACTGTGTGTAAATGGAGAACTTGGGGATAGAGGAGGAAGCTCCACGCGGTCCTTCCAAGGCTGAGCAAAGGCATCTGGACTTGTTCCAACCCGGCCCACCAGGTGACATCACCAGGCAGGGAGGGGTGCTGGTGGTGGTTCCTAGGGAGTGAGCTGCTGCTCCTGTGCAAGGGGCTCCTGAGTCCTTAGCAGGCACCTTTAGGCCATGGTCACTCACCGTGCGCCATCAATATGTTCTGTTCTCAGGTGGTTTCTCTTTGTCCTCTAGTCTAGAGCTAGTTTTTTGTTCTGTTCCCTGCATGTGGATATAGTAGAGATTATTGGCTGTGAAACTTTTCCTTTGTGGATTTTGAGTTTTCTCTCATAGTGTAAAGAATCATCACCTACTGTAAATTAACAAGACCACTTTTTAAGATTTATCCTGTTTGTTCTTTGTTAATTGAAACATAATAATTATGTTGTTAAAATTCTCAACAGCCTTTTTTTTTCTTCCTTAGCTAATCTTCCTTCTAATAATTTTTGCTTTCTGTTTTGCTGTTGTGGTTTTGCAAAGCTTTCCCCCACCTGTACCTGTTATCAGTATAAAATGATCTTCCTGTGGAATGCTCCCTGACTTCAGTTCTGCGTGGATCGGAACATTGCCATACTGCTTTTCATCTTGATGAATTCATCTCTCATTTCTTTGCCTTATTGTCTCATCTGAAATTTTTAAATGCCATTTGTTTTTGTTGACTTTAAAAACATAATAAATAGACTTTACCATTTAATAAGGTAGGTCAAATTCTTTTACGAATTGTTACATCGAAACATTCTTTCATTGTGTGTTCTGTTTTTCTTTGGTTTTTTGCAACTACTGTTTATTATCTACAGTGATTTGGAAAGGGGATTTCCTTTAAAACAAACTTATTGGGAATGGCTTTTATGATTTTAAAAGTAGCCTTGAGAGCTTCCAGTTAAATCTGATGAGCTGAACATACACCTTTCCTTCTCCACTCCCTATCCTGACCCCAGTTGAAATCACCTCAAAGGAATTTAAGTAGGGGAGTAGCCCCATAAAGTGAGAGAAAGTCATCACTGCAGACAGACCACAGCCCGGGTGGAGATGGGCCTGAGGCAGCAGGGCAGAGGGCCATGGCGCACTGCTGAGACTGTGGGTCCTCACACCTGGGCTGACAGAAGGTGGAAGGGAAATGAGCACCTCAAAATAAGACCAGCTAAACATGGGGCACGCAGCAGACAGCAGTGTCCTCTGCACTCCCATTCCCCACGGAGAACACAGAGAGCCCAGAAATGAGTGACGTACCCATTGCCGGGGAAGAGAAACGTGGGCTGAGGAGGTGGTCTCTCCTAACACAAAAATGAACTCACTGGGGAAAAGCAATGAGGTATTGACATCCCAGGAAACAAAATAAAGTCTCCACATTTTGGTCCTTAGGGATCCTGTCCCATAATGGCCGGTCGCCTCCTGCCTCAAGCTGCAGGGAAACCAGACGGGGCATGGGACTGCCACAATTACAGCTCCTGCTCAGCCTTCCTGGTCCTTTTTAGAAAATGTGAACCAGAGAGCATGAAGCATCAGATACTTAGAAACATCTGCATCATAAAAGAGCAATGAATGCCTCTCAAGAAAACATGATTCTGGGAACCAAAGGGAATTTTGAAAAAGAAATTGTACTTCAGGGAGATCCAGCATCCACAGGGGAATGGACATCACTTACTGTGGGACGTCGCATGCTGGAATACTACTCAGCAATGTGAAGAATGGACTGTTGATAAATATTTATAAATCACATATCTGATAAAGGTTTTAATATTCATAATATGTAAAGAACTCTCAAAATTCAATAATAAAGCATAAGTTTTTTAAATGGGCAAATGATCAGACACATCACCAAATGCATACAAATGGCAAATAAGTACATGCAAAGATGCTTAATGTCTTTGGTCACTCTGGGGAAACATTAATAAGATATCAGTACACGTCTGTCAGCCTTTCACAGAACTCCGATTTGAATGTTGAAATCTCTAAAAATGCATTCTGTTGAACAGTAAGCTGAGGCACGAATAAATTTTAAAGAATTTATTTGATCAAACAATGATTTATGAACTGGGAAGCTCCAAACTTCCATAGGACATATGCAGAGTCTGTGGCTCCAGCTACTCGTGCCTCATTTGATCTGTTCCCTTGGAAGGTCCCTGGTTATGTAGGTTTGTTGCCTGCTCTGGTCAGTTGAGTTAAACCCTGTTTTTCTTCAAGACAGGCATTTACAACCAATAGCTCAAGTTAAGTGAAGCTTGTTTGCAAAGCAAGCAAGGTTTAGGTCATTTATGAGGCCTAACTCTTTCCGTCTGCCCAGGGATTCTTCAGGTCTGGTCTCCATTTGAATTTACTTTGACACTTCTACATAGGATGGTCCCCAAAACGCCAACATTTTCCCAGTAACACTCGTAAGCCATAGCTTATTTTCCTCCGTTAAATATTGTTACATTTATTTCAGATAGTTTTAAACCCCTTAAAAACTACATGTTTGCTCAAAAGGCTGTTCTTCAGTTAAAGTTCAAACCTGTTTGACCAGAGAAAAGCAAAGCTTGTTAACTAAGAATATGATTATGTTAGTCTATTTTCATGCTGCTGATAAAGACATACCTGTGACTGGGTAATTCATAAGGAAAAAGAGGTTTAACTGACTCATGATTCCACATGGCTGGGGAGGCCTCACCATCATGGTGGAAGACACGTCTGACATGGCAGCAGGCAGGAGAAGGAGAGCCAAGCGAAAGTGGAAACCCCCTATAAAACCATGTGATCTCATGCGACTTATTCACTACCATGAACAGTATGGGGGAACCACCCGGTGATTCAATTATCTCCCACTGGGTACCTCCTGCAACACGTGGGAATTGTGGGAGCTACCATTCAAGATGAGATTTGGGTGGGGACACAGCCAAACTATATCAAACATCTTTTGTGGACACAGCCAAACTATATCAACCATCTTTTTTTTTCATTCGTGAATGTAAAACTTTTTTAATGTTTACAATATATTAAATAACTATTATAAATGCACATAGTGTATTCTATAGCAGCCAGGTTTACTTTTTTTTTAAGGAAACTAAGTTACACTATGGTTAAGACTATGGTTAAGACTTGTATCTTCACCCTTGAAAAAGCCCACATTCTGTCACAGCCACGTATGGTCAAACTTAGCCCCAATTGTTAAACACTTGCATCAAGTCATAACGAGTTTTTTGTTTGCTTGTTCGTTTTTTGACGGAGTCTCGCTCTGTAACCTGGAGTAGCAGTGGTGCCATCTCAGCTCACTGCAACCTTCCCTTCCCAGGTTCAAGCAATTTTCCCACAGCTATAGGCACGCGCCACCACACCCAGCTAATTTTTGTATTCGTAGTAGAGACGGGGTTTCACCCTGTTGGTCAGCATGGTCTTGATTTCTTGACCCCGTATTCCGCCCTCCTCAGCATCCCAAAGTTCTGGGATTACAGGCGCGAGCCACTGCGCCCTGCTGTTATAACCAGCTTTATTGCAAAGGGGCCCTGTAGACATTGATCAATTCTAGTGCCTTCACAGCTACCCAACAAGGCATGAATATACAGAAACATGCTTCATGAGAAGCAAGAAGTATCACCCATGGCTTCTGCACATCAGCAACTGGTCACTGCTCACATCACTGAGGTCTGCGGACGGTCACTTTTCGCATCCCTCTCGAGTGAAAGATGGAATGACTTGAGCACAAATGCAACCTGTTATTAACAATTTCTTACAAAAGTCACAAACCAACGTATTTTACAGAATTTACTACAAAACGCCATAAAAACTGCCTTCACTTCAGCTCTCTTCGGGTGTCCGGCGAGCCAGCTGTATGTCTTCGGGCACGATGGTGACTCGGCGTGAATGGCACACATGTTCGCATCTTCAAACAGACGCACCGGGTAGCTTCTAGCCTCCTGCAGCGCACGATGCCTGCGCAGGGCAACCACAGATCGCTTTTGAAACCCAGCCTCGGCAGAGGCGGCTTCGGATGCGCGGCTGGTGGACTGCTGATAACCAGGAGTCTCTCGCAGCGCCCCGGGCCCGGGCCTGCAGCTAGGAGGCGTCACCCGCACGAGGGGCCTTTCCTGGCGGCCTTCGTGGCCAGCCGTTAGCTGGGAGCGGGGCGCGGGGGCGGGCTTTCCCCCGAGGAGTTAGGAGCCGTCGGCTTGGTTCCTTCGGGCCGTTTTCTTTTCCCCAGCGCAGAAGTCAGGAAGAGCCGCAGCCTCCCAGCGGAAACCCGTTCAGTCTGAAAAACGATTTCATTCTACAAAAAGGTGTCTTTTCCAAATCGCAGTGAAAAAGACTTGAGTAATTCTGTTTTACTTTCTATTGCTTGCTGTAGAATTCCCTCCTAAAGCTGCTCTCCAGCACACCACAACAGCATTTGTAACATGTTATTAAGGTAATGACAGTGTGACACTAATTGATACATGTTAACAAGAGCAGGTCACTGATGGTCAGCATAGCAAACCAATTAGCTAATAAATGGTTGCCCGCTGAGTGTTTACTTAAAACATTGTTTCTTTCACCCACATAAAAATAAACAGCAGCCAGGAGGCTTCCCTAGTCAAATCCAGAGAGCCGCCTTTCTTCCCATTTTCTGCAAGCCAGTCCTTTATGTTTAGAAAACTTACCTGCATGGCATGCTGATGCCACCGTGAGCGGGAGGTCACCTGCAGCTCAGGAGCTGACCAGCATCACCACTGATGAGACAGGGTTATCTCTGGGTTCTGATGAAGCTCAAGACTGCCACATAAATCATGACTCCGGAACCTGTAGCTTAACCCTGGCTGGGTATCCTGGGTTCCTCCAGCTTTCCTCTAATGTCGCCTCGTGAGGGCCCTATGTCCGTTCCAGCTGCGGAAAAAATACCATAAACTAGGTGGCTTATACACAACAGAAATTTATTGCCTACAGTTCTGGAGCCTGGAAAGACCAAGATCAAAATTCGGTGTCTGGTGAGGCCCCAGTTCCTGGTTCACAGGTGGTACTCCCTGTGCTCTCACCTGGAGAAGGGACCAGCCAGCTTTGTGGGTTTCTTTTGTAAGGACACAAATCCCATTCATCCCTAATTATCTCCCAAAGGCTTCACCTCCCAACACCATTGCATTGGGGGTTAGGTTTCAACATTTGAAAAGGGAGGGGGTGGGGGTCACAAACATTCAGACACTGCAGGCCCACTTGCTTTGCTTTTCCTATCCGAACATGTCCCCCACCCCCAGCTGCAGTGGCCAGCCCTTAGGAAGTCGGTGAGGGGGCTGTGCCACTGCCCACCATCACACTCCAGTCTCAGGCAAGGGGCTGCTCCCATGGAAATGGCCCTGCAGTGCTGGGGTGTGAAGCCTGTTCCTCAGGCAACCTGGGGGTCTGGCCTCTCTCCAACCCATCAGGGCCAGTGGCCCTGAGCTCGCTCTGCCCCCTGCCACCCTCCTCTGTGGTTTGGGGTTCTCAGGGAGCTCGCTGAACCCAGGCACCCTGCCCCAGTCCTTGGTCTGGCATGGCAAGTCCCAGCCTTGCCACAGCATAGCTTCCTTCTGAGCTGCTCTTGGTGTCTGTGGGAACCAGTGGGTCCACTACTTCCCCAGCCTGGGTCCCCTTCCCTTCCTCCTGTCCATGCTGGGGTGGGATTGCTCTGAGGTGGCCACCCCAGGCTGGTATAGAGGCAGAAGCCCTGGCCCACAGTGCTCTCCTCAGCTTGTCCATGCCTCTTCCCTGCCCTGTGCCAGGGTCTGGAGAGAGGTGCTCAGAGCCCAGCATCTCCCTGCTGCAGCTTCCTCCTCCCTCCCACAGGACCCCAGGGCTCCCAGGGGCAGACATCTCTATTGGGCCTCCCTTGCCTAGCTGGACTTCTTTTTTTTTTTTTGAGACGGAGTTTCGCTCGTTACCCAGGCTGGAGTGCAATGGCCCGATCTTGGCTCACTGCAACCCCTGCCTCCTGGGTTCAGGCAGTTCTCCTGCCTCAGCCTCCTGAGTAGCTGGGATTACAGGCACGCGCCACCACGCCCAGCTAATTTTTTGTATTTTTAGTAGAGGCGGGGTTTCACCATGTTGACCAGGATGGTCTCGATCTCTTGACCTCGGGATCCACCCGCCTCGGCCTCCCAAAGTGCTGGGATTACATGCTTGAGCCACTGCGCCCGGCAATTCCTGTGTCTTAATAAATATTGGCTTATGAAGAATTTGCTGGAGCAAGTATAGACACTATTTTAACTTCTTTAATTCAACAGAATTTTAAACTAGCTGGTTCTCTCAATAAAATAATACTTTCCTTTCTTCCTTAAAATCTAGCTGAACTGGCCTAAAATACACATGTGGGAGGTGGGATTGTAGAAATATCTCAAATTAATTAGTGTCTAGCTCTTTGTAAGGTATTTGACAGTCTGAGTTGGTTGCTTCCCCCACTGCAAAGCAGCAAAATCTGCTCCGAAAGGCTTCACATGGCTGGAAAACTCCATTCCGAATTTAGATCCTCTGGGGAGGGCATCAATTATTTCCTATTGTTTTTAGCACTGATTATTCTGTCTAATTTGAAAGCATCCAAAAAAGAAAATGATAATTGGCATTAGTATCATTCTCCATCACTTTTGAAAGATATATTAAGGGAATGTTGGGGCAATCAGTCTAGAAACATATTTTCCCATAACAATTAGCCAGTTCTTTTTTCTTTTCTTTTTTTTTTTTTGAGACAGAGTCCCGCTCTGTTGCCAGGTGCCAGGCTGGAGTGCAGTGGCACAATCTCGGCTCACTGCAACCTCCGCCTCCTGGGTTTAAGCAATTCTCCTGCCTCAGCCTCCTGAGTAGCTGGGATTACAGGCACACGCCACCATGCCCAGCTAATTTTTGTATTTTTAGTAAAGACGAGGTTTCCCCACATTGGTCAGGATAGTCTCGATCTCCTGACCTTGTGATCCGCCCACCTCAGCCTCCCAAAGTGCTGGGATTACAGGCGTGAGCCACCGCTTAGGCCCATGAAGAAAATGGAAACAAAACTGAGTGCCAAGCATATAAGATGCTCAGCATCATATCACATTAGGGGATTGCGAATTGAAACAACCATACCACTGCGCACCTGTCAAAATGGCCAAAATCCAGAAGACTGACATCACCACTGCTGGTGAGAACATGGAGCAACAGGAACACTCATTCATTGCTGGTGAGGATGCAAAGTGTGGAGCCACTTGGGAAGACAGTCTGGCAGATTCTTACAAAGGTAAACATACGCTTACTATACAATCTAGTAGACTTGCTCCTAGGCATTTACCCAAAGGAGTTGAAAACACAGAAACCTGCACATGAATGTTTATAGCAGCTTTACACAAAATTGCCAAAAATTGCAAGCAGCCAAGATGTCCTTCAATAGGTGGGTGGGTAAATAAATTGTATCCAATGCTATTTCTATAAGGAAAATCTATTCATACAATAGAATATTGGTGTTAGAGTTTCTTTCTAACAAAATGCTATCATGGCATGAAAAGATAAGGAAGAACTTTAATGTATATTGGTAAGTGAAGAAAGCCAGTTTGCAAAGACTACATCCTATATGATCCCAACTGTATGACATTTTCATGGAGACAATGAAAAGATGAATTTTAGGGCAGTGAAACCATTACTATGATACTGTAATGGATATAGAATATTATGCATTCTTCAAAACACATAGAATATACAACATGAAGAATGAATGCTAATGTAAACTATGGATATTCATTAACAATAATATGTTATATAATTTTAATAATTTATTTTACATATTTTAATTATCTAAAATGTCATTTATTAAATTTAGATGCTACTTAATTTTTACTTTATTATGATTATGTTAATATCAGCTGTACTAGTGTTCAACACTAATGCAAGATATTAATAGGGGAAATTGTGTTGGAGAGGGAGGTATGTGAGAACTCTGTACTTTCTTTTCTATTTTTTCTGTAACCATAAAGCTACTCTAAAAAATAATATATATTAATTAAAAAATAACTGATTAGAAAGAGAGCATTTTGCTCATTGGGCAGACTTTTTGTCCTCCATGTGATGGAGTCAGCTGAGTGGGTGTAAACCTGCGGAAGGCAGGAGAAGGCTCTACCAGCCTCGCCCCTGAGGTTTCCACCTTCCCGTGCTCTGATTTCCTGTGGTTATGCTCTGTTGCCTCTGGTGAGAGGTGGTCAGTAACTCAATAAGCTGCTTCTGGTGTCTTTGTGCCAGACAGATTTCTTAAAGGCAAGCATGTCAACTACAACCAGAGAACAATTTCCCTGGAGTCGGATTTCAGACCACAAGCACCACTCCTCCTCACAATGTAATCTCTTCCCCAGGCTAAGCCCTGTCAGAGGGGAGAGTTAGGACTGGTGGGAAAGGCTTGCCCACTTGGCTGCAGGAAGCTCAGGTGGCATCTTGGGAAGAATCCTAAGAAGATGCTCTTCTTAAAGATACCTTACATCTACCTGTCAGAAAATTGTCACACCATTCTGATGTTTCAGACAACTCACTTTCATCTGCTAGAAAACTGTCTTGATACATACAAGCCTGATGTCTGTACCTCTGATGGCGTCCCCTAGACATGGTATCCTCCTCCACTTATTGACGGCAGGTGGCCCATCTGACCTCCTGGTTGCCAGTTCCCTCTATCCACTAGGACAGGCAGGCCACTGGGAAGCCTCCTCCACAGCCGCAGGCCCTGTCCTTGGGAGCTGGGAGACATCTCAGATGACGTACAGGATCCCTTCATACAGGCTCATCACGAGCCCTCTGGTCCTTGGAGTAATAGCAAACAAATGTGCTGTTGTTCCTCATTTCCGTGTATTTCCATCAGTTAATTGGAAATGGCTCTGCCTGAATAGGAAATTTTTCTATCTTGGGCTTCTTGAATAGAGAAGCTTTGGGGCACAATCCTAAATCTTCAGAGGACAGAGCCCACATGCCACACTTCCAGTACTTAATAGCAGCTTGGGTTCCTGAGGATTTCCAATACCCATATTTTAGGGACATTTTGTCTACTAAAAGTATCAATTTCATTTGGGACAAGAGGTGTTATTCAAAAATACATAAATAGTGGCCTCCACTGAGAACTTTCATCATGTAGAGAATAACACATTGGGAAATGCTAAACTACCTAGTGAATGGCAGGTATGGGGGTGGGGAGGAGGAACAGGCTTTCCTCTTGAATAAATGAAAAATAAAATAATGATGCTTTCATTTTTATTAGACAGTATGTCATATACAAAATCCCAATTTTTTTCTTACTAACAGAGAAACCCATCTTTCTCTGAGGAGAGGACTGACTCTCTAGGTCCACCCTAAGCCTGTCTTCCTTCCTATCTCAGCCTTTGCTTTACCAGCTCTCATTCAGCAGGGAGCCTGGCACTGGTGCCATAAAGATGAATACAGGGGAGATCTTAGCCTTATGGGGCTCATTACCTGATAAGTGCATAAAAAAATTATTTTTAATACAACATGGTAGGTGTTATGATACAAATTATGTACAGTACACATGTAAGCAGAGAGGTAAATATCTGATTCTACATGGGGGTTCCAAAGAAATCGGATGAAACCTAAGGTGGTCATGTTAGAGAAGGTAATTAGGCAGATATGAGAGGGCAGCATGGAGCCCCAAAGAATCTCAGGTGACTTTCAGGTTACTGTTTGGTGATTGTTGACAGCCAGGGAGGTGGCGACAGGGAGGGGAAAATTTCTAACAAACAGGAGACACCTTAAGTTTCTGGGCAATATTTTCCCAGTAAAAACTTGAAATGGTGGAGTTTGACCTTCCTCTTGGACATGTCTAGGCATGCACAGTAAGGGGCAAAATGGCAGCATTTGATCCATATATGACCTTCCTCTGGGGGTGCTAGACCAATAAGGGGAAATTGCCCTAAGACAGCATGCACATAGCTTCAACCAACAAATGGCACATGCAGCCCCTCATACACTAGCAAGTCACTGTGCACTTGGCAATTAGCCAACAGCCCACCCAAAGGGAAAGATGGGGGCACAAGACTGGGAGAAACCAGGATATTATCAATCTATAAGAGCCCTGAGCCAGCAATCAGGTGAAGCATTCAAATTATTTGACTTGCCCACTTGGTTCCTTCCACTTTGCTTCAATAAACTGTCATGTCTGCCTTACATCTGCCTCTGTCTCTTGGCTGAATTCTTTCTCCTGAGACAAGGATCAAGGACTAAGGGAGCCCACCCAGACTTGCCACCAATAACAGTCATGGCAGAAATAATCCAGAAATAGCTCTAATTATTGCCAACCATTTAAGTCTGTTCCTGGATGCTCACAAGGATCACATTTACCCTTACATCTGAGTAGAGCCATAAAACTAATTCTGACCAAGGTGAATAGGTGTGCAAATGTGATGTGTGACGCTTCCAGGCTATCCCATGAAATGTCTCTTACATCCAGTCCTTTCTCCTCCCATAGCAAATATGAAGCCACGTGTTGGGGACTGCAGTATCCCAAAATGCAAGGAGCCTGGATCTCTGAGTCACTCCACTGCCTGGAGAGGGGTGACTCAACTGCAACATCCTCGCTGGACATTAGGTAGACGAGAAATAAGCTTTTATGTTGTTAAGTCACTAAAATTTGGAGGGCGTTTGCGACACCTGGCATGATTTGTTTAATACTATGGAAATCGGTATTCTGAAGTGGGGTTGCTGCCGTAATAAAAATATGTGGCCACTTATTTAGCAGTTGAGCAAGAGGTGGGTGGAAACGGCATTCTGGGTGACTGGGCATCTGCGTTACATTGTGACACGACATCTGGCAAATGGTCATGTGCAGAGACTTGGAAGGCTGACTCCATCACTGTAAGCTCATGGCAGAGATACTGGACGGAATGTCAGAAGTGTGTGCTAATTAGAATTTATTCTCTTTGAAAAAAGGCAACAAATACAAGAAAGATAAAAGCACGGAAATAATTGGCTATTTCGGAAACAGAAAACCAAAGGCAACAGAGAGGCCAGAAATGTAGGGCCCTCTGATAGGATTGTAAAAGGTAACTGCTTTCAGTCCCCAGACAGTAAAACATGAAAATAAAAAATTATTTGAGCCGACAAAGATCTAGTGAACTTTCTAAGCTAATTAAAGTAACTCAGAGCAAATATGTGAGTAAGGGTATAGACTTCCCGCTCAAGCCAGTGACATGGAAGAAGCTGCCATTCCACTGAGCGGGAGAAACAACGTGAAGAGGTGGGAACCAAAGGGGATTAGAGAACAATGTCCAGGAAAGGTCTTTAAATGGGGTCACTGATACATGAAATTGACTGGAAGCAAATAGGTCAGAAGTCACTAAGATTTTAAGACAACTACACTGCCCAGAATACCATAACTCTGAACCAAAAAGTTCCTTGACTGTTGGAGACTTAAAAACAATCTTTGAGGCTAGGTACTGTGGCTCACGCCTGTAATCCCAGCACTTTGGGAGGCCGAGGAGGATGGATCACAAGGTCAGGAGATGGAGAGCAGCCTGACTAACATGGTGAAACCCTGTCTCTACTAAAAATACAAAAATTAGCTGGGCATGGTGGTACGTACCTGTAATCTCAACTACTCAGGAGGCTGAGGCAGGAGAATCGCTTGAACCTGGGAGGCAGAGGTTGCAGTGAGCCAGGATCATGCCATTGCACTGTAGCCTGGGTGACAGAGTGAGACTCCATCTCAAAAAGCAAGCAAAAAAAAAAAAAAATCTGTGAGTAACCAATCTTTCCTGAACAGAAGGTGATTTCCAAAAGCTGCACTATCCCAAACCAAACACACTAGCCAACATCTATTCTTAGGTGACCGTAGATAGTAATGAGGAAGGAGAGCCCCCAGAGGGTGAATTCTGAAGCCACAAGAACAGGACCTAATCAGAGTTTCCCCAGCATTAAGAACAGGGAAATATCACCATGCAGCATCTAGCATCTACAGGAGTCAAGTGCAGCTATGGGCTAGAGATGCACGTGAGACTTCCATTCCTCCATTCCAAAAGGAAGAATTACACATAGTTCTGTTCTTGAACCATCACTGTCTACTGGAAGGCAGGGTGGCAAATAGCACATCATTCAGATCATAGGAGCTCAGACCAACTGGAGCAGTTCAGTTTCTGGTGGAGAGTCCTGAGCGGTTCAGGGATCCTGGGCTTGAACTGCATACCGTGACTGGGTGGGCCCCTGTGTTCTCTCCCTTTGGCAGAGGGGAAACAAGTTTTATCATATAGGAAGAGAAGCAAAAGAATTTGGTGACCAGAATAGTGGCTGGGTAGGCCTTCATTAAACTGGGCATTTTCCTCCCAGGCTCCAGGAGACCACATTACCCAATCCTGTTGCATGTGCATGGAGCCATGTGATACGGGTATTAGAGCTGCTCGAGCCCAGCTGGGCAAACAGGCAGGAAGAGTTGTCCTCTTTACTTTCTTTCTTCTGGAAAGTGACACGTTTCTCCTCTGGACTTTGGACATCAGGCTTCAGGTTCTCCAGCTTTCGGACTGTGAAGCTGGCAACAGCGGCTTGACGGGAGCTTTTAGAGCTCATTGGAGGCTGCATTGTTGGCATCCCTGGTTCTGAGTCTTTGGACTTGGACTGAGCCACTGGCTTCTCTGGTTTTTCAGCTTGTAGTTGGACTAACATGGGACTTTGCCTCTGTGATTGTGTGAGCCAGTTTCCCCTAAAAACACCCCTTTTCATATATCCTACTGGCTGTGTCTCTCTGGAGAACCCTGACTAAAATAGCCACTAAGACTTGGGAGTTATTATCGTTTCTAACATGACTCGCATGAATAGCACAGTATTGAATAGTGATTGTGAGTTCACAAGGTAGACAAGGGGGACGTAAGGAAAGTATTTCAGGCGCAGAAAGGACAACACTGCTCCAACATGTCTATCAGAGGGAGTTCAGGATGGTTCTGGATGGCTGCAGAACTTGGTGATTCCAAAGGCCATGTGCAAAAGAGGAGGGAAGGACAGCAGGACCACATGATAAGGAGTCCATATGCCCTGACG